CCAATCAAAATATGGATTAATTCAAAACTAAACTTCTGTAATCATATTAAAATACAAAAATTATAGTTAGATACTGACCCCCATGAAAAGATGAGAAGAACGCCGCGAAAATCACCTCAATCGGAGTTTTAGAACTCAAGATATGCTCAAAATACCAAAATAACGCGGTCTAATTTTTTTATACTTAGGAATTTTCGCTTTTGCGACAAAACATCTGCACCTGCGCATTTCCAGCTGTAATTTCCGCTTTTGTGGACCATTTTTCGCACCTGCAAGACCGCAAATGCGGACCCAACTTCGAATCTGCGAAGTATCAGCACCAGCTCTCTTCTCCAACACTAAAATAAGCATAACTTCCTCATACGATGTCCAAATTCAACGATTCGTTTTGCTATGACTCCGTAATTATGATACGGATCTAATGCTTCAATTAAAATATAAATTGGAGCTTATTTGCTTAATTTGGTACCATTTATGCTTGAAGAAACGAAGTCAAAACATAAAAAAACGAGCGCAACACAACCCAAACCTATTCGAAACTCACCCGATCCCCTCGGGGGTCCGTCCGAATATATCAATAAGTCCCAAAACTATGAATTGCACCTCAAATCGAACTTTATGAACTTATGAACTTTCAACTTCTAGTACTCGCGCCGAAACATATCAAATCAACTCGGAATAATATCAAATTTTACATGCAAGTCTCAAATGACATAACGGAGCTAATTCAGCTCTCATAATCGAAATCCGAGCCTCATATCAACAAAGTCAACTCCCGGTCAAACCTCTTAGCCTTCCAAAATTTCAACTTTCTAATTTTCGCCAAAATGCTTCAAACTATCCTACGACCCTCCAAATCCAAATCTGGATGCACGCCTAAGTCCAAAATCACCATACGAAGTTGTTGGAATCATCAAAATGTCATTTCGACTAGGCCTTCCCCAGATGAAATGTTATAGAAATGGGGCTGGGGAGAGTAGGTGTTGTGTTATGGGACTGATTTACAACAAAAGAGTCAACAGAAGAGGACTTGGGTATGGGCGCCTGAACTGGAGATAGAGTAGATGTTGCACTTGGCGTAACAGGTGGTGCATTTCCAGCAAGCAACATAATAGCTTGAGCCTAATCCAAAAGAAGATATAATTGGTGAAATTGTCAACATAAGATACATTTATGAGACCAACATCAGGGAGAACCTAAAGGTCTAGAGCGTTTACCTTCTCTAGTGAAACATTATCATAAACGCAGACGGAGCCAACATAAAAGATGGTCAACTGAGCAGGACCTGCGGGAGTTTTAGGAAAAAATCAAAAGTCTAAAGCAAAAATTCCACAAAGATCAGTTTTTAAGCCGAAGACGCATATAGATTATCTTATCATATGAATCACAGATAAAAAACCAAACCCATAAACACACACACCAAGAAATCACAGAAATTCCATAAAGATCACCTTTAGTTGAAGATTGGGGAAAATTGGAAGAGATTGAAGGGTTGAAGCTCAAGGCTCAAGAATGCGACGTTCTATGAACGTAAAGCTAAAGGAGCGACAGATTAGTCATATCCGTTTGAAAATCTATCAAGAAGCTACAAAATCAGGTATGTACAAATGATCAATGATAATGAAAGAGCTATAGAACAACCAAAAAAGAGAAAACAATTTGGATATAAAGGGAAAAATTAAACTCAATGACCGCAAACTAAATCACAAAAGAAAGTAAACAAATTAATGAAAGCACATTGAACATTCTATTTATACACTTAAACAACCATATGTAACCAGTATAAAATTTGAATATGCAGGAATGTTTCAATGTGCCACTAGAATGTAAACTCCAAATGAGTAAGGTAAGAAGCTCCCAATCATCAATGGTGTGCCAAAACAGGATGGAATGAAGCTCCTAATATCAATCGAGTAGGAGGAATGCATCAATGACATGAATGTTCCTAGACAAATGCGTCTATATTTTGATATTTATAGATCCACTTTGAAATGACATCGTAAGCGCAATTTAGCGGGAGAATTCTTAAGTAGCAACAATGTATGAATACAAGCTTGCATGTAGGAAGATATGATAATTGGGTAATTGAAAGCACTCTGCCAAAAAAAGGTATATGATAAGTCACGAAGATGAACATCTCTTCAATAATTTTTCCTATTGTTCAACAGCAAGGAAGAAGTTACTTTTTGTTGAAGCTCAGATGACCGCGAAGCTGACTTTATTTTTATCGTTTCAGTCAATTGTTTTCAGAAGTTGATGTAGGTTCATGGCGTAGACTGGATTCTAAAGAAAATTCAGGAAGGAAAGAATTAACTAGTGGTTCCTATTATGAAAAAGACAGTGAGAGTAGACCATAAGAAATGCAGTTGATAAAGCAGAAGATGCTATTTAGTTAAACAAATTGAATAAAGTGCAAGTCTTACAATCAGTTCTACAGTATTTTTCAATAGAGACACTAAAATAATCATGCTAATAAAAGGTTATATGTAAGAATTCTGCAGGGCTAGTATAATACCTCCAAATATTTTTAGCAAAATAACCTGTGTAGCAGATGCCATTCACTGAGTCGGTGGCATATGTATAGCAGCAGACACATCTTGATACCAGCTGGTGTGCAAAATTAGAAACTCTAGGATCAGTAAGAAGATTGATTGTTCGTTAAAGTTTTCCATAGTAAGAAAGGACAGTTAAAAGAAATAATTTTTGTGCCAAATCTTTTTTTAGTAAAAAATGTAGTTTTCCTTGGTGTCATTATCTCCCAGGCACAAGGTCTCGTGAAATTGCCAGAATAATCCACCAAAGTGCAAAGTGCAAAGTGTAAAATGCAAAGAAGAAAAAGAAAAAGAATTTTACGGATGATAGAACTTTACAAAGTGTAGATTAGTAGGAGAATTATCTCCCATCTGGTAAAAAGGATTTTACGTCTTCATTTATTGATGCTGCGAGTCAGCTAATATGAAATAATAGTCCAAACTTTATCATTGGTAGTAGATAATACCAGTGTAAATAGTGAAATGACTGAACTTTTTTCTGGAGGAGGAATCTGAAATAAGCAAAGAAAAAAGGATTTAGTGGGCACATGAGTCACTCGGTAAGATAATTTTTAACTGAAGAGAAGTAACACATTACCCATCTTTCTTTTGATAAAACAATGACTTTTACTGCTTACACAAATTGTTCAACAGATGGTGAAGGCATACACATGTGTTCAACACCCATGTTCAAGCGTATTACATTTTCCTCAGGTCAAAACAACAATATATTGCCGTCATGTTTGTGATATGCTTTTAAAGCTTCGAACAATCCCTATTAATATTTCCAATAGCATTTTTAGTGACTCTAACACATGAATAAGTAACCATTAAAATGAGTAACAAAGAAGAAATATATTTTAGAATAAGAAAAGTTTCATGAGACACTATCATAATACAAAAGTGTAAAAACTAACCTATCCATAATTTAATATTTAAGCAGATGAGCTCAACTTAATGTTTATCGAAACATTGTAATTCACCCTTGGAAAAGTTTTCACCTTGAGAACATTTCATGACATACATATAATCAGTGGCCAAAGCCAAGGTTGTCCCACTCAATGTTGGTTAATTCAGATGTTATGTTGCTGTTATAAAAATAAAGATCCTATCAATTATGTGAAAAGCAATAAACAAAGCTTTACCATGAAGTCGTTTTTTTCTCTTTTTAATGAGGCCATTACTCAAATGGTCACTCAACTATCCCAAATTATCTCTTAAAGTCACTTTACTTTCGTTTGTAACAACAAAATCATTGAACTATGCCTATTGCACTCAGAAGGCCACTCAACTAGATTTTCCAAATTTTGGATTGCCAAATACCTATTTTATCCTCTAAATTATAAACATTTATCTTCTTTTTATTTTTTAAAACTTTTTAATATTATGATTTTCCCTTTTTAATTTATATTATGGACTTATCTATAGAATAAATAAATATTATTTATAAATTAAAAAAAATAAAAAGTATTTAAGCATGTATAATGCTTAGTAAAAAAAAGTTAATTAGAATAATTTGTTAGTAATAATAATTTTAGTATTAACAACAAAACTTCAAAAATTTATTTACACAATTCAGAATGAAAGAAAATAAAGGTTGTAAAATATATATTCNTATAAATTAAAAAGCAAAAATCATAATATTGAAAAGTTAAAAAAATAAAAGAAGATAAATATTTATAATTTAGAGGGTAAAATAGGTATTTGATAATCCAAAATTTGAAAAATCTAGTTGAGTGATCTTCTGAGTGCAATAGGCATAGTTCAACGACTTTGTTGTTATAAACGAAAGAAAAGTGATTTTCGGAGAAAATTTGAGAAAGTTGAGTGACCATTTGAGTAATTGACTCCTTTTTAATTTATGCATTCTGATGGTACTTGTATTGGAGGAAGTAATCACTTCCCTTTCTCATTGTAAATAGCATTCCATGACCATTATCCTACAGATAATTGATTAATATGTTAAAACAAAAGCGCAAAAAGGACAGAGCAAATTATCATATGATATTAATAGTGATATACCTTTAGATCAACTGATTGTTATCCTACCACATGTCTTGATTTTGCAAACCAAATGTTATGTGGTATTTTAGTCATTCCTGTTGTGACAGAAGTTTCACGTGGTTGATATGTCATTAAATGGCACACAATTGTGATTGTCTGATCGCAGAGCATCATAAACAGATGAGTTACCTGCATCAGACAACTTTAATATATCAGTGCCACAATTTTTTTCATTTGAATCAGCAAGCTGGTATTCCAAATTCATATCTCAAATACATGATATATCGACATCATCGAGGGTGGAAGTCTCTTCCTCAATTTCAGTATCTGTCAAATAGAGAACAACAATATTTAAATTAACTTATCAGCTAAAAGATATTTAATTAGCACAGAAACAACGCAGGAAAAGGAAAGAGTATCGAAGTATAATATTGCGGATAATTTTTGTCATATGCGCAAAATCTTTGATTGTTCACCATTCACCCAAAATCCAAAGTAATACGTGCTCTTCTCAAAGGTAGACAGAGCAACTGCAATCAGAGAGCATAAAAGCATGTGAGAAAAATGGGTACACAGGGCAACAACAAAATACCTGTGAAAGTAACGTATGTCGAAGACATCAAGCAGCTGCCTTTTTAACAAAATACCTGTGAAAGTAACGTATGTCGAAGACATCAAGCAGCTGCCTTTTTAATGATTTCATCATCTCTCAGCTCTATTTTCTCTTGCTATTTTCAATACTTTTTCAACAAACTGTTAACGATCTCGTCAGCTATTTCCGAAATCCTGAAGTTGGAGCTAGTTTTAAGTAAAAATAATGGAGAGAGATTTTATGGGTTTGACTCATCATGTGAAGCAAGAAGTCACTGAAGAACCTATAGATCCAGGTATCGTATTGCCTTTTCGTTTATGTTTCATGTTTTCTCTTCCTCTTATTTCAAGCTTGAATCTTTAGGCCAGTTCCATATTATTAATATTTCTATGAGAATATCTCTCTGCTTAAATCGTCCCTTTTCCATTTAATTAGTCTATTTAGTTGAAGAAATTGTTTTTCTTGTAAACCAGCTATCATATAAGCAAAAAATCTCAAATAGCCTTGATCATGAGCCATATAATTATCACTATAAATAAGAACCATAATTCCAACCGTAGTGATTAATATTGACATAATAGAAGTAAGTGGGTCGATCAAGTATCCGAAGTCTAAAGAAAAATCATTATTGATGATCCAAGACCATACATATTGATAAAAAGAACTGCTATTTATTTGCTGAATAGACAGGTAGATTGAAAAAACCATGACTATGCTTAACAATAAAACACTCGGAAAAGCCCACAAACGGCGAAAACTTTTTGTTGTCGTTGGAAAAAGAATAAGTCCCGATCCTATTAACATAGGGACTCGAAGTGGAATGAAAGGTATGATCCATGCATATTCATATGTCTGTTCCATAAAAAAGTTTTGAATTCTTAATTAATTGGGCTGTGTCCGGGCCCAATTACCATAGCCAATTGAGGTTCTACACAGTTTTGTGTGCTTACATACAAGGAAGGTTTGGTCAACGAAAATATTATTATCATGGGAAGAGTCATTTCTGATTACGTGAGAATGTTCAATGTAGCTAGCAACTGGGCCAGAAGCTCTCTGCCATAAAAAAGAAAAGGGATTTTTTCCTAACTATACCATATATGAACCTTATTACCCTAAATGTGCATAGTTTGTTAATTACCCGTTCAGTCCATACTTTAACTACAATTTATATACCATTCGACTATTAGGCATTAAAAGGGCAGAATATTCCCTAAAAACGCGCTAAAATTAAGGAGAGAATCTTGGTGTTAATTGATTCTACATTAAATTCAATTTTTAAAAAGGGAAAGGAGATTCTCATCTGAGTATTTTTCTCCAGAACTACAATTCAAATTCTCGAAAAAAAAAGAACGAACAATTCAAATTTTCGAGTTTCAACAACTCAAAGTTGAAAAAATCTGTTCTTCCATATATTTTCCACCATTGATAGCCATTAAAAAGCTTGAAAGCTTTGAATTCAAATTTGGGTTTTCAAAAATCATTATTTGTTTGGATTGAGTGTTGTTGTAAATAATTCGGAATATGTTTAGGAGTTTATATCTCAATTTTGAGGGGTTTTGGTGAAGATTAGACTTGGTTTTGACTGAATTTCAGATTGAAATTCGAAGAAGAAGAAGAAGACATATTTCCAGAAATTGTAGATAAATTGTAGAATTGTAGATCAATTGTAGATAAATTGTAGATTGGGAAGACTAAAACTTCTACAATTATGTCGAAAATGCCAATTATGCTACAATTGAAATGAGAATTGGGATATTAAAATTCAATGTATCCAGCTTGTAGATATCTACAAATTTTCTACAAAAAATCTACAAAGAAACTACAAATCAGTTTACGTATGTATAAAGCAGTATTGTTTTGAAGGGTATCTACAAAGTTACTACATTTATAGTACAATTACACGACAATCTATGTTGAAAAAAAATGTTGACTACAAAATTTTCTCTTTATCTACAAAATTTCTACAAATAAACTACAAATTAATTTTTCCAGGATTGATGAAGAACAAAACAGCAGAAGATGCAGAAGATGGGCCACCAGAGTTGCTCTTTATTCATGCTGGTTATACAAGTAAAATTTCTGACTTCTCATGGAACCCATGTGAAGACTGGGTCGTCGCTAGAGTTGCTGAAGACAATATACTACAAATCTGGCAGATGGCGGAAAACATCTACCACGATGAAGATGATATACTCAATGAGTCTCATCTCTGTATTTTTTTAGAAGAAGAAGGAATGGAGAAGAGAAAGAAATGGGAGGGGGAAAACGAATATGGTCAGATCTTAGGAATTAAGGGGAGAGAGAAACGTGTGATATATGGATACCTTTAATTAAGGAGTAAAAACTGCCTATTAATTAGACCCTTAATTAAGTATTGTATAGGATTAGTAATTTGGTATACGGGTTTGTAATTAAATCAAACTTTAAACATTGAGGGTAATAAGGTTTCATATATGGTATAGATAGGTAAAAATTCTAAAAGCAAATAATATTATGTGTACTTGTGTGAAAGCAAAACTGAGCCCACCCCAAATTGAACATTACTATCCGTAAATAACTGGCAGAAAAGTGAAAATCGGCTTTGCAGAAGGAAATAAAAAGTTGATTAGCATTTTTTACCATATCAAGTGTTCTACTCAAATGTCAAATTTCATAACAGTTAAGCCTCCAATGGACAAAACAAACTAATAAGACAAATCGACGTACATCATACAATAAACAACATTAGGAACTTCACTTCAGAGATGCATGTACATTCACTTTTAAATTGGCAAATTAGTCAACTTGAACATTTCAACTGGACACCGATTTAATTATTTTCTAAAAATAAAAGTTCAGAGATTCACAAACTGCGTAGTAGATACATGATGGTGTTGTCATTTCAAAATGATACAAAAAGGCTAAGAAAACACAAAAATATATTTATTTGCTATGCAGAAATGAAGGAATCTACATACAGATAGAGAAAAAGAATTAACAGCTTAATCATAAACTGTTACTTCGTACATAATTCGAGGATAAAGAAGAGACCATAGTCTGTCTGAAAAGGAACTTGATCTATAATTCTTCTACGTTATCCATTTAATAGAAGGGAGACCATAATTGCTAGCCCCCTTTAAATTTTCAGTTCAGAAACTGCTATTCCACCAATTTCATCCAAGCAAAAAAGTCTAATAGCTTGTTTGGCCAAGCTTCTCAAGACAAAAAAGTGTTTTTTTCCTCAAAAAGTACTTTTTTTTTTCCTAATTTGAGGTGTTTGGCCAAGCTTATTTGGGAAAAAAGTGCTTTTGGGAAGAAACAGAAGCAGTTTCAGAGAAGCAGAAAAAAATAGTTTCTTTCCAAAAGCAGAAGCAGTTTTGGCTTTTCTTCTTACCTAAAATACCCTTAACAAAATATAGTATATACCAAAATAACCCTTAAACTTAATACTTAGGATATTAATTTATAAATATTTCTTCTTATTTTTAGGAAACTTTCTAATATATAGTGACTTTAGGGGTGATTGCTTTTATATTTGTTGAAGGAATTTTAATATATTTAACTTATACTAAAAGAATTAAGTACTTTTTAATTTTATTTTCATATTTTACTTAAATAAAATGAATTTTTTTTAATTATTTCATGTAATAACAAAATTTTGGTATTATTTATTTATTTATAATATTAATTATTAAGTAAATCTATTCATGTCCTTATTCGTAATTTGACACTTAAAAGCACTTTCTAAAAAGCTTGGCCAAACACAAATTATTTCTCAAAAGTGCTTTTCAGATTAGCCAACTGATTCTCTCCAAAAGTACTTTTTTCAAAAGCACTTTTTTCAAAAGCAATTCTCAAAATAAGCTGATTTCTCCAGCTTGGTCAGGCTATAAAACACTTGAAACCATGGCAAAGCACGTCATCAAACAAATGAGAAGTGCAATTAAGAGCCAAGTAAAAGATGCTTTCTTGATATATAGCAGCAGATCAAGCAAGAAGAACTTCACAAAATCTTACCAACATAGAAGGCCATTACATACAGAGAGCAGCTACAGTATATTATTAAGGAAACTCCCCCTTAAGTTTCGCTGGCTTCAACATGTCTTAGAGTCAAGAATGTGCCAAGACTTGACTTTGGTAGGTCATAACGACAAACCTTGAAGAACAAACAAATGTCAGAGTAAATGAAGTGTTTGAGCCTGTCCTTTCCTCAAGTAACATAGCCAATCGTTGCTAGGTGAGGCTGCATTTTGTTCTCCTAAAGTTTTAGTTGCCAGAGAAGATAATTTGCCTTCAAGTGGACAGACTTGTGAGAGGTCCAAGATGATTTGAAACAATCATGCGTGCTGACAAGAAGCATTATCAAGCTAGTGTCTAGAAAGATAACTTTTCCTTTTTGGTTCGCAACTGTAGATAATTTTTCAAGTTCCACTTTATTTTGGTCTCTCAGATAGATAGTTGCAGTCCTTATAACTTTTTGCCTATTAGCTGCAGTTTTATAATGTCCTTCATTGTTCCGTTTCCACCACTGAACCTAAGTTTTTGACATTGAACAACTTATGCAAATAGGAAATCTAGTTTACAATGTGCCAAATAGTCCTGTTACAAAAATCCTGCAAACATAGCATAAAAGGTGCAGAGGTTATGCACACATCAAATCTTTAAGAAGCATCGAGTACACCATTATCCCTCCTGTCTTGTATCACAAAAACTATACCGAACTTATATATCCTATGTACAAGCTATTACCAAAAAAAAAAAAAAAAAAAAAAAAAAAAAAAAGATTTCCTACAGATTGATGGTTTCAGCTATGATATAAGTTATACATATCAGTAATCCCAAAATTAAGCTTCAGCTCGACTAATGAAAGATGGAGAAGTTACTTCAGTAAGAGAATGGTCGTAGCTACAAAATAATTCATAAAGAGAATGATCATAGCTACAAACCATAAAGCAGCTCCTTCACGAGGAAGTTTTAGCTCCTCGCACTTTGGACACCTTCGAATAGTAGAAAAAATAAATTAGCAGAGAAATCAGAGTACAGAAACTCTTCAGTGAAAGTAACATTAAAAGGCCAACTATTGGCAGTATAACTATAAAAGCAAATGAAAGATCACCCAATAGCAATTGCCAACATGTATTGGATGCATTAAATTTTCAACTCCGAGGATGATCAACAAAGGTCCCAAAAAAGTAAGTTTATGATACCCTCACAGATACAGTACGTCAAAATGGAATCCTATATGATTTATGAAAATCAACAAAAAATTATACAAGGTAACATAGCGAGGAAACGAAACAAGGAATGAAATAAGCTGACCAAAGCATAAAATGGAGACACCAGCATCAGAATTACTTTGTCCCTCTTTTTTATGCAATAAACAAGGAATTTTTTAGAATATCCATCTCTACATTTCATATGAAATACTCTATTATCTCTAGACATCTTCAGAATTTTCAGCCACTCAGCTTTAAACAACAGTAGAACCTTTTTTTTTTCCTTTGAGAACCAAGAAATCCGCCACACCAGCTTTAGAGGATAATGGACTGTCTCTCTACTCTTCATCACCACTTAAATACAAGTGTTGTTTCACCAACTAGGATCCAAACTTGTGACATGCAGTTACCACATATCTCGCAGTGTACTACCTTTGCTAAGTGCTAACAACAGAAACTATACTCGAACTGCAACATTAAGTTTTATATTAAGGTCACAAAAATATCCTAGCACAATTTTTATTTGTAATCAGATGTATTAGCTAATCTGATTAGCTAATGGTAACAATTTGCAGTCGTCTTTTTTGTTCTCAAACAAATGAATTTGATACACTACGATCCAGCTCTAATCCTTTCATCATCTAAGCTAGTTTCATCTTCAAGTCATAACACTAAACTTCAATTGTGCTTGATTTTGATATGTTAGTTTCATTCTTCGTCGGATGCGCCCAGAGCAGGGCTAAAATTGAAAAACTGAATCTAAAATTATAAAAATTTGAAGTTACAACATATATGAAATTAATAGGTACCCTTAGAAGGAACCTAGCAGAAGCTAGTGGTAATTTAAAGGTGCAAAAACTGTGGACAAATCTATAATATGTGATTTTTGAGAAGTTTGCCATATATATATATANCTCTAAATCTGTAAATCAATTATCTATGTGGACACTTACCTTTCTCTTAAAGTTGCTAAATCAATATGCATAAAAAATTACTACAGCTCTCTGAAGAGGACGGCTAATATTCATTCTCAGCTTCAACTTCCAGTTGCATTAATACCGAATCTCTGTTTCCTTTCCCCCTTTCTGAATGAAGTATGAATGTTATAACTTAACTAAATTTAGGAGCTTGTTGTTATTTCACTTGCTTTCTCATTCGTGGTCCAGTGTCTAATATAGTACCCAAAGACAGAGAGAACCTGGAGGCGGCAAACTTTTTCTGCGTTTTTTCTAAAACTCTGACATAGAAGAATTAGAAGTAGGGATAAAGTGGAGGTATATGATATAATTTAGCCACAGCGAAATGCGAAGAAAAATCATTGGTACTCCTCAAGAGAAATACAGATAGAGATGAATCACAAACACTCAAAAAAATAGAGAAGACAGAATATGCATAAGAAAGTTAACAGATATGGTAATTCATTGAAGAATTTTCTCAAACACCTAGAGAACAAAAGTCATAGAGATACCCACCAAAAAATACGATTGACGAAAGGAAACACACTAAAGTTCAAACTTGACTACAATAGGAAAGACGAAGAGAGCAGATGTTCTGGATTTTTCTTAGTTGGAGATGGCGCCACTTCTCTACGGTCGAGAAACCAGCGGTCTTTGAAATGACGGAAATATCCTCGGACTAATATTTAATTCCATGGAAGCGCACATGTTGACCGAGATGTGCTTGCTACACAAAGGTAGACCAAAAATTGGAAGGAAGAAGACAACAAAGAGAAATTTTAGCAAAAATTGAAAGGAAAGCATACCTGGATCTGGATGAGAAGATGAAGAAAAGAGTTAGCTGTTGGACGATGGTGCTCTTTTTTTTGTTAGAGATGAGAAAGAAAAAGGATCCTTCTAGAGTTCTATTTTAACCCTTATGATGTAATTACTATATTGCCCTTAAATAAAGTTAGATTTGCAAAGATGCCATTCGTCGACCATCTTGCTCTTTCTATATAACTAGTATACTTATAAAAAAAAATATATTAGCATGATAATATTGCTCTTAATTATTTGCTCATTTGAATTATATAAACAAAAGGAATACTTAATAAGTGGACTCATCGCTGTGCCCTTTGCTATGCTTGTTATTTCATGGAGTAGTTTTCTATAAATTTGCTTGCATTTTGTCCTCAACTTAGAAGCGTCAATATCTTGGGCAGGCTAAACAAATTAAATAAATATTTCACCACACCAAGATATACATAATAAAACATCACTATTTCCCTGGTGGATTGAGAAATAGCCAAAAATCTCTCATGATGTAAATGCTGAATTATAAGAAAGTTATTCACCGGATGTTTTGTTTTCTGTTAGCTTGTGTATTCTCATCAACTTTCACAAAAATCAGTCTTCCATCAAAAATCTACAATCGGTAGATCATTTCAATTAAAGAAAAGCAACACCAAACCAGAACAGAAAACACAATTATGAATCAGTTCTAGAACTTTATACATAGGAAATCAAATACTGTTGGCATTAAAAATAAGAGATATTTTATGGATAATTGTCCTACCTATGTGCTTTTACTTCTTCAACTCATATCCAAAAATAGCTCTAAGGCCTTAATTGCTAGAGCATTTCCAGCATAGTCATCAATTGTAGGTGCATAGGCTATCATCAAGACTTTATGATTCATCTTCATCTTTCTCTGTTTAATGAACAAATAAAATCGAGATTATTTTAATCAACGGGTAGATCAATATAACCTGCTCTAAAGGCTATAATAACAGGCTATGCATGTATAGTACCCGCTATGCATGTATACTTTCAGCCACACCAAGTCATGTTTTCCATGCTGATGAAACCTTACTCTTAATGGAAGGTTTCTCTGAAAACATGATATTCATTTGTCCAATGTATCTTCAAATTGTATTTTATGCCCATTTAAACGAAATGCTATCAAATGATAAATGAGTCTTGGAAAAATAAATAAATGTAAGTGCAGTAGAGAGAGTTAGAAGAAAATTTACCTTTGGAACGATTGGTTAGAACATCATGAAGCCTAAATGGATGTTGTTGTTCTTCTTTCTTGTATTTTAGCTTGTACAGTACTACGTGTCCAGCCAGGAAAAAGTTGTTGTATCAGGGATAAGTCACTCCCAAACTGCTGACAACAGCCTAAAGACAAGTTTTGTTCTAAATGTGTAAGAGCAAACCAAAGACAAACAAAAGAGGAAGGGAGTGCATAACAGTACTATTTGTGCTCAATCACACAAAGTCTGTCCATATAGCTCTAATTGGTGCCATGACCTACTGCTGATGCTTATGCATATCTTCTATTTTGATAAAAGCACTGGCATTTGTTATATCTTCTACTGATGCTTATGCATATCTTCTATTTTGATAAAAGCACTGGCATTTGTTATATCTTCTACTGATGCTTATGCATATCTTCTATTTTGATAAAAGCACTGGCATTTGTTATATCAGACAAAGGAGGACATCTGTTTTCTTTTTCGTTTGCATTCCCTCTGTCATTTGTTGGATCAACATGTAGGATTGCGTATAGGTGTTCGTAACACGCAGCGGAAGACAATAACAATCCTAGGCAGATCTTTTTATGTTTAAAATTTATTTACATGTCGTGAAAAGAGTCTCGTTTCAAAATTTCTTCGATAGTGCGAACACTCTATGCGTATCCACACCGAGACTGATCCTTGCTATCAACTCTTTGATCAATGAAACCCGCGAACAAATTGAACAAAATATTGTGTTGAAATTTTTCACAAAAATCTCAACTCAATGTTAGAAGAACAAGAAACACTTTTCTTGCAATTGTAGTGAGTTTTCTTCTCAAGAATAAGTGATCCATCAAATTTTCTCCATCACCCTTTATATAGCATCACCTACAAACCCTTTTCCTATTTGGTTGAGGTAATGATTTACTTAGGGTAAAAGTTTATTCCAAAAATAAACTTCATGGAATTTTTCTAAAAAGGAAATCGGAAAACATTCTTAGGAAGTTTGAATCTGCCGAATTTTACATGGACTTTCCATGAATTCCAACGTGAAAGTTGGATTGTAATAATGACAAATCCAATTCAATATTGGATTTTCCTTATAAGTCATTAATTATTATTTTGCTAAAAACAAAGTTCAAATCCCATAACAAAAAGATTTCGTCTTGTAGACGTCTCTTATGGGATTTACAATCCAATTCTAAATTGGATACTTTATTAATATTTATATATCTCCTATATATAAATAAATATCAATTATGACTACTTAATATATATCATATATATTCAACCAAGAAATAATTTAATTTTCTATTCTAAATAGAAAACTTCAATTTGTTCACA